TTTTTTATCAATTGAATGAATTTAAATAGTTTTAATGACTTTGAGAATCTCTTCTTGTTTATTGGCTATAAGTATGTAGTTCCTCTTCTATGACATTCTCGTTCCTGTCTTTCACTCATTTTCCTGTTGTGCTGTTTTTTCTTATCAATTTGTAGCCCTTTATATATTCTTGTACTAATTCTTTGATGATAATATATACTGTTAAAAATAAAATTTAAATGGGAGGCTGTTAGGCCAAGATAGTTCCAGAGCCTAAGTTCCTACATAAGTAAACCAAAGTAAATGTAAACCCTGAAGCAAAATTTAAGCTTATCAATCAGAAATTACTCTAAGTAAAGCCTTTAACCAATCAGAAACTCCCAGCCTCTAACTAAAGACTGTCTATTTCAGGCAATGAAACATGTTTCTTTGTTTTGTATCTGTGAATGCCTTATGAAAGTTTCCACTTTTGTTCCCCCAGGGGAACTGTGCTTGTAGTCTGGTGCTATCTGATTCATGAATTTTTGAATCTTCAAATAAACATGTTACATTTTTAACATGTCTATCTCTTAACAGTGTGCAAACACTGTTGCATGTGTTTGCATAGAAACCAATGTATAGCCTAGCTTTTGTGATTTCACTTGGTGTCTTTTGATGAATCAACATTCTTAATTTTAATTTGGTAAAGTTTATTAGTGTTTTGTTAGTTAATGCTTTTTGCATGCTGTTTAAGAAATGTTTCCCTGCCTTATGCACAAAAAGTTAATTGTTTGTATCTTATATGAATATTTGAAAGTTTTGGTCTTGATGTTTAAGTTCTTACTCCAATAGTACATTTTTTTGGTATTGGTGAAAATTATGGGCTGAATTGTGCCTCTCAAAATTCATGTTAAAACCTTAATCCTGAGTGCCTCAGAATATGACTATATTTGGTGACAGGAAATTTAAAGGAGATAATTAAATGATATAATGAGGTAAGCCCTAATCCATTCTGTGTTGTCCTTAGAAAATGAAATGTGGATGTACAAGGGAAAACCAGTGATGCCTGCACACAGGTATGATCATGTGACAACACAGTGAGAAGGTCAATCTACAAGCCAAAAAGAGAGTTTTCAAGAGATACCAAACCTGCCAACACCTTGATCTTGGACTTGCAGTGTCCAGAATTGTAAGAAAATTAATACCTGTGGTTAAGATACTCAGACTGAGGCATTTTGTTCTAATAGCCCTATTAAACTGATAGGGTATTACGATACAGACTTAGGGGCTGCTTTGGCTAAGAGCACTGACTCTGCACTTGGGCTTGCAGGTGCTCAATGGTAACCGAAAGCAGGCTAAAAACCAGGCATTCTGCCTTCATTTTGTATCTTTCTTCTTTGCTACCTTAAACTTTGGTTCATATTCCTATTCAACTCTGCATGTAGACGTGATAATCATTTAAGGAGGGTTTATTCCTCCCCTTTCAAAGTTGAAGCAACAAGAGCTATTTTAAAGATTTTAAAGATTTACAGGGACATGATAATCAGTAGATTGTCATCTGCCAGTCTATGCAGATGTTTTGGACTATAGAAATGGTGCCTGTAAATCTCCAGTCATTGCCCTAGACTTAAAGACACCAAGTCCAGCCACATGCCCTGGTACATGCTTGTCATCCCAACACTCAGGAGGTTGAGGCAGGAGGATTCAAGTTCAAGGTCAGCCTGGACTACTTAATAAGACCCTGTATCTGAAAACCAACCAAGCAAGTAAACAAAAAACAAAGTACCTCCACATTGCCTTTCTGACTTGACCTTTATTCTGAGTCATCCTCTCCAACAGTCACCTTAAATTCCAGGAACAACAGGTTTGATTAATAAACATCTTATGAGAAGAGTTGAAATCACTCCCAGACAACAGCAACTTTCTTTCTTTTTTTTTTTTAGCAACTTTCTTATTGATGACAAGACACCAGGGTCTGAGATAGTGATTGGCCAGACAACAGTTTGATTAAGACTGTGCCCTTCTTGTTTCTAGCTTCTTGTCCTTTCCTTATAAAACCTTAAAGCTCTTGTTAAGCTCATCAAAGACAGGATAAGGATGCTTGGTGCCCTGCTCCTTCCCAGTATGTGGATACTGAATAAATTCCTTTCCTACTTTAACAAGATTTTCTGGTTGGCTTTTGGAGTGAGTGGCCAGACCTAGTCTGTTGGAATCCTTCAAACTCAGTCTCCTCTGAATTAGAAATCTTATAACACTGTTGAGATGTGGATTTCACTTTTTATATGCAAAGAATAATTTGATTCTAATTTCCATTTACTCAATAATCTCTCCTTTCCTCACTAATTTATCATACTTTATCATAAGTGAAAATTCAATGTATTTGTAGGTCTATTCTAGACTCTTTTCTTATGGTCAGATTGGCTATCATGGGAGAAGACCAAACTCTTTTAATTGCTTTCTGAATTGCTATTGAGTCATTGGAAGTCCTGACAGCTGGTAGAGAAAGGTCTTTCCTTTTATTCTTCTGTTAAGTAACTTTGCTGTTTTTGATCCCTTTCACTTTCATATGAATTTTACATTCAACTTACCAGTTTTCACTGTATTAGGATTTTGGTTGTATCTGCATTAAACCTATAGATCCACAGAGAAATAGTTTGTAATTAAAGATTTATCAACAATGGAAAGCACATTTTTATATAGACTATAATTTTGATTCTGTCCACATGATGGCACCAGAATTTAAAAAATCAGATTTTCACAGTTGGAAAGGAGATATCCTAGGACTTAAAGAGTATTAGTATCTTATCAAAGCCTGTATGTTTTAGAAGAGCTGTTAGTGAATGGGTTTGCAGAAAGATGGCGAGCAAAGGTCATGCCTAGGCTTATGAATAAAGGGGAAGATTATCTAACTCATTTCCACCTCCAGTCCCACCCCTTATTCAAACTAGGATACTCTTGGGGTTAAAGTCTACTGTCACTTGTGGAAAACATGCCTGGACTTGCACTGAACTGTTTAAACCATCAAAAAGGAAAGTGACAGGAAGACTTTCCTTTATAGCTTTATAGAGAGCTATAATGCCAACAAAGCCTCCTTTCTACATTATGTCTTTGTAAATGAAGTATTTGAGACAAAATGTCTTTGTAAATGATACCATCCCTAATGAAACTTGAGAGTGATCTAGAACAACTCCTTTTTCTAAATATCTTCTAGGAATTTATTAGTCTGATATTCCAAATGTCTCTGGAACCTGTGCCAAAAATCTGTTTACCATAGTATATTAACATAGACAAAGAGATTCACATAAGAGATTATGTTCACTTTGTATGAACATAAATTGGATAATCTACCAAAATACATAGTGAGAATAGTTACTTAAATTTTCTAAGGCCCAGTTTCCTAATCTGTAATAATGGGAATAATGTAGGAAATGAGAATATGCTACTTCAGATGTCACCATAGGCACCAGAATGTCACCCCAAGTACACCTTGAGATCAGGATAATTTTGAGCTGATTACTTTGGGAAATGACAGACACAAGACAAGTCCGGAAAATGACATGCTACTCTTTTGTAAGGGAAATGCAAATTAATCTCCACTTTTAAGAGTACCTCTTGTAGCACAGAGAAAAGAATGAGTCTAGATCAGAATCTTATCAATGAAGAAATAACAATCCTCACTGTTTTTCTGGTTACTTTCCCTTATCTTGTCTTCTTCACATTCTTGTTTTGGCTAAAGATGGTATTGGAGCCCGAATTCTAAGCCATCTCCAAGACCCTGATTACTTTGAATATCTCCCATGTACAATGATATGTACATGCCAACAAACTCGTTTTTCTCTGTTTAATCTGTCCGGTTTCAGGAAAGCAAGTAGAATTTAGATGGGTAGAGGGAAAATAGCTTTCCCCCTACAGCAATGTTTCTCTCTCACAATTGTTACAGGTTTACGTAAGGCACCTCCAAATAGAAGTAACACTCAATAAATGTTTACGCTATTGCTATAAGCGCAAGAACAAAAACTAAAACTGAAACACAAAGTGTGCTCCTAGATTAGTAAAAGCCAACAGTAAAATCTGGGACTTGGAAAACAAAGCCATGTTTTAGATCACTTGCCTGTGTTCCTTTTATCCTACCAATACCTCCACCCACAAAGGCCTTGGACTGGGATTGACTCTTCTGGCACCCGGGTAGCTACGTGGCTCCATGAGCCATTTGAACCGCACGCTTTGAATAATAACCCGTTCTACATAAGTCATAGATGACTTCAATTGCCAAATCATATTAGCACAGAGCCCATTTTAGCACTACTGTCAACGGCCCACACTGTTAACCATTGCTCACACGGAGAGCCAAATGCACTTTCACGAAAATTCCACCGGATGGCGCCCTTGCTTTCTGATCGTTGGGCAACCAAGCCTTCCTAGGGCCTCAAGCCCCTTTCCAAGGCAAGGACCAGACCTCCGGAAGAGGGCCAATAAAGGGTGATGGGCAGAAGCAAAGGCGCTTCAGATCCACCCCTACCTCTTCCACTCCTCGACCAATGGGCAGGAATCCGCCTCATCCGAAAGGAAAGACACCCTCTTGGAACCCTGGCCTTTCCCTTGTCCCCTCTCCCAGAGCTGTCCCCAACTAGACGAGAATGAGTTCGGTGACGGCGTGAGGCAGCAGCCCCAAAGCCCTTCCAGAGGGCCAGGTGAGGCCTCGCGCGCCTGTGCAATGGACACCGGGCACTCGCACAGTGGCACAGGTGTCAGGTCGCGGGACGGTCAGGAAGGACTGTGCGGGGGAGGGGACCTGCGTTTACGCCAGCTGCCAAATGGCTCTGGTCACTCCAGGGCCGCGGCACCCTGAAGCTGGGCAGAGGGAGGGGCAGGGCGCCGGCCCTCGGGTTTCTGGTTTCAAAGCCGAAACTCGGAGCTTTCGAAGAATAGGGTGAACGTCCACGGACAGCCGGACGCCTCTGTCCGCCTCGGGGTTGCAGCCAGCGCTCCCCAAGCTGGATCCGGATCCGGCCGCGAGTCGTCTCAGCGAGCCCCGTGCGGCGCGTCCACGCCTCCCTCGGGCCCCCAGCGCCTCGGTGGGCGGGGCGTCTCCCATGACGTCGCCTCCAGATTCGAGTCCCCGCCCCCTTTCCGCCCGGCGCGTATATAAGGCTTCGTCCGGCGTTCGCACTCGCACAAGTGGAGCGCGGCGTCGGGCGCTGCTTGGCTTCCCGGGACAGGGCTCGAGGGCCAGGGCTATCTCGGACGTGTGTCCGCGCCTTGGGGTGGGGGTGGCAGCAGGCAGTGAGGGACGGCGAGGCCAGCCACGATGGAGCTCTTGCGGACTATCACCTACCAGCCGGCCGCCGGTACCAAGATGTGCGAGCAGGCGATGGGCAAGGCTGGCGGCGGGGACTCGAAGAAGAAGCGGCCGCAGCCGTCCGCCGAGGAGCCGCAGCCCCAGGCCCAGGTGCCCCCGGCGGCCGCACACCACCGCCACCACCATTCACACTCGGGACCCGAGATCTCGCGGATTATCGTCGACCCCACGACGGGCAAGCGCTACTGCCGGGGCAAAGTCTTGGGAAAGGTGACGAGCGGCGGGGCTGCCGGGGGAGGGGAAGGAGGAGAGGGTCGGGGAGATCTGCCCGGGCAAGGCAGGCTGGGCCCCCCCGCGGGCCCCCTTCTCAGGAGTCTGCTGCCCGCTTGACGTGGGCCTCTTACCTGCCCTCCTGGGGTTCTGTGTGCTGGGGACCCGGGGATCGGCTTTCCATCCTCAGCCCAAAGACACTCATTCGTCTTGAGTCCAGAAGCCAGGGCTTTCTATAGCAGACCTAGCACCCTCCACCTGCTTCCCGCACAATTTTCCTGACAAGTCTCTTCAGACATTATTTTTCACCTTTCCCCACCCCAGTCGCCTCCATAAAGCTCTCCTTTGTAAAGGGAGAAGAGAAATTGTTTGTACTTGCGGTTTTCAGGAATGTGTTTCCCTCTTCCTGAAGGATCTTTTTTTTTTTTTAACAAAGTATTCTATATCCCTCTGTCCACCTCCTGTTCCCCCCAAATTTGCTTTTATGTATTTATTTTAAACATCAGCTCTCCATTTTTCTGCCATCCTCACTCAATTCCATCTCGGCTTTGTTTCCTTTCAGGGTGGCTTTGCAAAATGTTACGAAATGACAGATTTGACAAACAATAAAGTCTACGCTGCAAAAATTATTCCTCACAGCAGAGTAGCTAAACCTCATCAAAGGGAAAAGGTGGGTATGACTGTTGAGTAAAGTATTTTCTTTGTGTGCAGGGATGGCCCTACCCTGTTGGGAAAATGTCTTCTGCATGTGTAAGCACTGCCTTTCCAGAGATGATGGGAGGCTAATAAGCCTTATCTTGCTTTTTCTTTTAGATTGACAAAGAAATAGAGCTTCACAGGATTCTTCACCATAAGCATGTAGTGCAGTTTTACCACTACTTTGAAGACAAAGAAAACATTTACATTCTCTTGGAATACTGCAGCAGAAGGGTAAGGGTTAACTCCTATTTCAGTACATTTACATCTGGAAAGTCATAGTGTTCAAATTGCCTTTTACTTGGGATTTCTAGCTGTGGCAGTCATTTATTACACTGCAACATCAACTTGGGTCACTTATCCTGCAAAGGAAAGTACTGATTTTGGTAACTTTGTTTGACAGATTCTCTTTTTCCCTTCTCTTCCTAGTCCATGGCTCATATCTTGAAAGCAAGAAAGGTGTTGACAGAGCCAGAAGTCCGATACTACCTCAGACAAATCGTGTCTGGACTGAAGTACCTTCATGAACAAGAAATCTTGCACAGAGATCTCAAACTAGGTAAGCCCTTAACTCCAAACGTTGACTTGTTGTTTAGAGAGAGATGTTCCTTTCTTCTCTCTTTCCTTTTTTATCTGCTAATATTCTTAATTGGAGTCTAGCCTATGGAATCTTGCTTTTGAATGGATGACTTTATTGGAGTAACTGGCTGCCTACTTCCAAAGTGGGTGTATGTACAGTAGATTAGAACACCTTTCCAAGGGAATTCACATTCTGTTTTGCTTTTTCTTTAGGGAACTTTTTCATTAATGAAGCCATGGAACTAAAAGTTGGAGACTTTGGTTTGGCAGCCAGACTGGAGCCTTTGGAACACAGAAGAAGGTAAGAGTCAGAAAGACATCCTACTAGGATTTTGTGAAGACCAGATATGCCTTTATTATTTTCCAGTCAGTATTTCATAGAAGGTCAGTTGATAATTAAATCTATAAACCACAATGTTAATTTGAAACAACTATTAAATAGTGTCCACAGGGTGCCTTATACCTCTAAGTTGATAATTAAGGCAGTAAGAAAAGTTGCATTTTCTTGAAACTTAGAAATGCCATGATGTCCTTAGTTGGTTAAAAACACTTGGTCACTTGGGCTGAAAAAAAATTGTACATGGGTAAAAAAAAATGACCAAAAGTCACTTGGACAAATACCATAATTTAAATGTTTCTAAGTAAAAGACAATACAGTACTTTTAAGGTTTTATTTTCCCATTGAGTCATAGCCAGAACACTAAGTTTAAACAATTCACTGGTTCCTAATGAGATCTTCATATTTTGTCTTTCCAGAACAATATGTGGTACCCCAAATTATCTCTCTCCTGAAGTCCTCAACAAACAAGGCCATGGCTGTGAATCAGACATTTGGGCCTTAGGCTGTGTAATGTAAGTGAGCATACCAGAATGACTAAAAAGCAAATTTGTTTTAAATTTTAGTTGTCAAAAGGAGTTCCTTTATGATCATTCCTAAAGATGGGTTTCTTTATATCCAGGTATACAATGTTACTAGGAAGGCCTCCATTTGAAACTACAAATCTGAAAGAAACATACAGGTGTATAAGAGAAGCAAGGTATACAATGCCATCTTCATTGCTGGCTCCCGCTAAGCACTTAATAGCTAGCATGTTGTCCAAAAACCCAGAGGATCGTCCCAGTTTGGATGACATCATTCGACATGAGTTTTTTTTGCAGGTTGGTGCACTATTGTTTGTCTGCTTATTACATGCTATTGATCTCAGTTACTCAACAGGTTACTGAAAGTCTTTTCTGATACTCTACAGGGCTTCACTCCAGACAGACTTTCTTCTAGCTGTTGCCATACAGTTCCAGATTTCCATTTATCCAGCCCAGCGAAGAACTTCTTTAAGAAAGCTGCTGCTGCTCTCTTTGGTGGCAAAAAAGACAAAGCAAGATATATTGACACACACAGTAAGTTATAATACTTCTCTCCCTTTTCTGTATTCAATATTACATTAAATTTGATAATTTTTGAGACTTTATTAGCATAATTTAACTTGTATATTTGTATACTATTGATCTTTGACATTTATCGTGTAGTAATTACACACCTAGAACTGTGATGGATAGATCTTTGTTTCATAAAATGTGCTTTTTGCATAATCACGTTGATGGCAATGATAAAAAAAGTTGCTTTGCACTGGATGCTTACAAGCTACTTAATAATGCACATGTAAGAAATATAGCTAGCTTTGTTCCTACCTTGTTGAAATTGACTAACAATCCTTTTCCTTGATTTATAGATAGAGTATCTAAAGAAGATGAAGACATTTACAAGCTGAGGCATGATTTGAAAAAGACTTCAATCACTCAGCAACCCAGCAAACACAGAACAGATGAGGTATGTTGGGAAAGAACAAAATGGATATAAACACTTTAAATCATTTTTATTCTATGTTAGCTAGCATTTAGACTCTGGTTATTGGGGTTCAGGCATGTTACATGTTCTTAAAGCTTTTCTTCCATTTCCTTGCAAAGAAAGATATTTCCATTTAGTTTAACAATGCATGCAGTTGTGTTAACTGTGTTATCTTTTTTCTGTCTTGTGCCCATTGCTTTTTGATAAGCTTTGCCAGCAATTGCCATAATCTCATCCTAACCTGGAATATCAACCTTAAGTGATTTTTGATACTTGACTCATTGCATGACTCTCTCTCTGAAGGAGCTCCAGCCACCTACTACTACAGTTGCCAGATCCGGAACATCTGCAGTAGAAAACAAGCAGCAGATTGGGGATGCCATTCGGATGATAGTTAGAGGGACACTGGGCAGCTGCAGCAGTAGCAGTGAGTGTAAGTAGATGTTAATCATATTTTAAATAATAAAACTACAATACCAGTGGTAACTACTAAGTAACTGGAGTCAATTTATATTTTGGCTTAATTTAATGTAGAAGAAACAAAATTAGATGAATTGGAAAAGGACAAGGATTAGCCCTGAGTTCTACCTCTTTTGTGTTAGCGGAAGGGAACTTAGTATCCACCAGAGCCTAAGGTTTTATTATTAGTAACTTTGTAACTTACATCTCTCTCTCTGACTTTTCAGGCCTTGAAGACAGCACTATGGGAAGTGTTGCAGACACAGTGGCAAGAGTCCTTAGAGGATGTCTAGAAAACATGCCAGAGGCTGACTGCATTCCCAAAGAGCAACTGAGCACATCCTTTCAGTGGGTCACCAAATGGGTCGATTATTCTAACAAGTATGGGTTTGGGTACCAGCTCTCAGACCACACTGTCGGTGTCCTTTTCAACAATGGTGCTCACATGAGCCTCCTTCCAGACAAAAAGTAAGTGTGTCTGATTAATTAAATCTGTCAGTTCTCTAGTCTTGCACTAAAGAAATCTGAAAATAGTGAGTAACTGCTTCTAATTTTTCTTTTTTCTCTCCTTGTCCTTCCTGAATTTTAGAACAGTGCACTATTATGCAGAGCTTGGCCAGTGTTCTGTTTTTCCAGCAACAGATGCCCCTGAACAATTCATTAGTCAAGTGACGGTGCTGAAATATTTTTCTCATTACATGGAGGAGAACCTCATGGATGTAAGTACTGTGATTTTAGAACAGTGATGTACGACATAGTCCACAAACCTATGGGGTCTGCATCCCTTTGATGTTTGTTAGAAGTACAAATTCATGTGTCCTATCCTAGATCTAGTGAGTCAGAATCTCTGGGAGGTGGGCCAGGAATCTTCAGGCTATTCTCATGTATACTTAAGTTTGAGATGTGTTTGCAGAGAAGAAGAGAACAACATGCTGCACAGTCATTATAGGCACTAACTTCCTCTCCTGATCTCTTCCAGGGCGGTGATCTCCCTAGTGTTACGGATATTCGAAGACCTCGGCTCTACCTCCTTCAGTGGCTAAAATCCGACAAGGCCTTAATGATGCTTTTTAATGATGGCACCTTTCAGGTAACTGAACCCTTTGTGGAAGAGCATGTTTAGGTCCTAAACAATTGAGTAGAAACTAGATTTAAAGTAATAATAATAGCAATAGTAATGGGACATGACTGTGAGAGGGACTGTCTAGGGGGTGGAATCAGTGAGAGGGTGGAAAGGGAAAGGAGAGGGTACTGAGAGCTGTACATTACATAATGCTTTTATTTATATATGAAGATAGCATAATGAAACCCACTAGACACTGTTTGAAAAAGTGAGGGAGGAAGAGGCAGGAAGGCTAGGGGATTATAATAAAGGGGGTGAACTTGTTCAAGATATACTGTATGTACCTATGAAATTATCTCAAAGAAACACCTCCTTGTGCTATAATCATATACTAATAAAAACTGTAAGAAATAATTATTAGTTATCCAGTTTAATTTTTGACAACTTTTATAATTCTTGAATATTTAGAGAACTAATATGTATATTTATTTTTTAAGGTGAATTTCTACCATGATCATACAAAAATAATAATCTGCAATCAAAATGAAGAATACCTTCTGACTTACATCAATGAGGATAGGATATCTACAACTTTCAGACTGACAACTCTGCTGATGTCTGGCTGTTCATTAGAATTAAAGAATCGAATGGAATATGCCCTGAACATGCTCTTGCAGAGATGTAACTGAAAGACTTTTTGAATGGACCCTATGGGACTCCTCTTTTCCACTGTGAGGTCAACGGGGAAGCCAGTAGACTGATGTAGAGCATGTTGAAGAAAATGGAAAGGTGGTGGTACGAAAACAGTTCCTCTGTGGCCTGCTGGACTGGATAGAACCAGACTAGGCCAAGGCATACAGTTCTTGACTTTGGACAATCCAAGAGTGAACCAGAATGCAGTTTTCTTTGAGATACCTGTTTAAAAGATTTTCAGCCAATTCTATAGAAAGACGCATTGACTCTTAACTTCTCTCTGTTGAGAGCATTTTAGCCAGAGGACTTAGAACTGTGAATATACTTCCTGAAGGGGAGGAAGAAGGGAGGAAGCTCCCATGTTGTTTAAAGGCTGTAATCAGAGCAGCTTTTGGCTGCTTAACTGTGAACTATGGCCATATGTAATTTTTTTTTTGTTTATTTTTGAATACACTTGTGGCTGGAAAAGTGCATTCCTTGTTAATAAACTTTTTATTTATTACAGCCCAAAGAGCAGTATTTATTATTAAATGTTCGTTTTTTTATGTTGACCATTTTAAACTGTTGGCAATAAAGAGTATGAAAAAGTAGAAACAGCGGTCTCATGTCTTTCCTACAATGTATCACTGCATCATCACATTCTGCTGTCATGGATATTTGGCATGACATTGAGTGTAGAAGCAAAATAGAAAGATCTTCAACTTTTCTAATTACAATGCCTAGAAAGTCAGTAATACCTGAATTACAATTATAAACCTGAATGGATCTAGTTTGAGAAGAGTGTAACAAAAATACTGCTCTTACAAACCAACAGATTAGCCTCCTGTTATATCCCAAACCAATTTGTGTATTTCCTCAAAACTCATTTAACTTACAGCTGAAAAGCAGAGTAATTCTGTGTAAAGAGAATTCTTAATTGTCAATAGGGACAGGAAGTTTACCTTAACAAAATTCGATGCATTGAGAGGCACACACCACCTAAATGTATTAGTCAGCTTCAACTTGTCTAAACACTTCCAGTGCCGCTGGCAGTATTAGTCCATAATACCAGTAGTGAGAAATGCTTTGTAAATTAGTCACCTCATTTTCCTTCTAGTGCAGGGTGGTTGAGGAGTGGTATGAGAACCAAGCTATGGTTTGGGCCCATCTTTTAAATTACTGAATTATTCAAGAGGCAAATCTGACAAGTTTTTCTCTTTCAGTGAAATTTATTCTTTGCCAGGTGAAAAGAAAAGCAGCTCAGCCTGTTACTCTGAACTTTGAGTGACCTACATACGATGTAAATAATCTTTTTGTTCAATTGTAATCCCACTACAAGGAAAATGCTATCCTGTGAAAAGTAAAGCACTTTGGTTTAAAGCTGTGTGTTTACTTTGTGATCCTGTACAGGTAGTGTAGAAATGGTAGTTGTACACTTACGTTTTTCTAAAATGGTTACATATGGCATCTGTTATACTTTATTAATAAAAGCCAAATTTGGGAATTTGTTCTGGGCACTTCCAAATTCCTGTTGGCTGAATTTCTCTGTCCTGTAAACAAGTTTGTGCTTTGTGTCCATGAAGAAAGAAGAGAAAGGATGGCTGAGTGGAAAGAGGGGCTCCTGGGTTCCTGCTGACATCATGAAGCTGCCCTGTTCATGCTAGACTCTCTAGCTTCAGACTCATTGTTATCCTTGTTTTGTGGGTTTCTGTTGGTGACTGAATGCTGTTCCTAAATTTATATGTGTAATACTCATGTCATTTTTAATAAACAAATTCCCTAAAACAATGCATACTTTGTGAAATGGCTTATATAAAGAGTTGAAGAACACTGAATAAGTAACAGCTAGATGTGGAAAAGTAGAATTTAATTTTATTTTTATGAGCAGAGAAGAAACCAAGTGGAAAAGGTGAAAAATGTTCTTTCCTTTTGAGTTTCATAGTAAGACTGTATATTACTTTAAGGTTTTAGAACATACTTATCCATTCTTGTGAGTACTGAGTGTCTGCTGCATGCCACGAGGCAGAGTCTGGCATTGGAGGGTGAACCTGAGCTTGTCCTTGCACCTGCAGGAAGTCTCAGTGGAGTGGAGGAAATGGTGCATTTGTCTCTTAGTCTGATAAGTAATGTGATATTATGATGAAGGTATGAACTTGTTGTGTGAACTGAAAAAAAGAGTCATGAGAAAAAAGCTTCAGGCAGGGGTTGGACTCAGAGAATAGATTCTCTTTCAAAGGTCAGTGGAAGGGGGGGTGTGTTAAACACAAGTATAAGACGGTAAAAGTATTTAAACAATGGAAATAACTAGTCCAGAAGTCCAAGATGAAAGAGTTCAGAGTAGATGTAAGTGTAGAAGTCTGAAGTATGGTATGTAACCTGAAAGAGACAAATGTGATGTGTCCCATATTTATCTCAAAGCACTTAGGCTGCATCTTGATGGCTGTGTGAAGCTATAGAAAGATTTTAAGAAGGAAAGTAATATAGTATGTCAGATTTATAAAATTCATTCCAGGGGCAAAGGTGAGATGAGCAGGAAACAAGATGGAAAGAAACTGCCAAAACAGTAAAGAAACCAATGTTGTGATTCAAGTGAGAAAAGGACCTGAGACTTACTGAAAGGTCACAAAGGAAGGGTTAGTATTTCCTTTGACTAATATGGATCATTTCAATATTCTTGGCACCAGACTTAGCATGGGACAGTCAAATATTGAATGAATGAATGAATGAATGAATAAATAATTACAATTAGGAGAAACTTGGAAAGTTGATTTTAACAGGATTTGGAGCCTATCCAAATGTAGAGGCTGAGAAAGAGGAAAGTGTTTAAGAACATTGGCTGCGGTAATTAAAGGAGGACAGGTGGCATTCTATGTGTGTATTTCAGCCATCAACTGAAATCAGGATCATGGAAGGAAGGCATGATATGCAAGGAAATGTAGTGAGTTTAAGATGGGATGGAATTAGATACATATGAGGTTGCACAGTGAGGTCCAGAAAACACTTGAATATACATGTTTGTATTAGGAAAAAGCGAGAGAGAGAGAGAGAGAGAGAGAGAGAGAGAGAGAGAGAGAGAGAGAGAGAGAAACACCATGGAACTGGAAGCACATAAGGATGAATTCTTATTGTCCCTTTTCACCAGAAGTATTTTTTAAAGTATAGAAGACATCTCCATAAAACATAACAGTGTTGACAAATCTTTGCCGTGGAAGAACAACAGAAGAGTCCCAGATAATTTATCCTTCCAGAGAGCTCTCGAAATCCATAAAAACTACACCAAAATAGCATATGTCTTTAGTGATAACATTTGATCTCAAATGGAATGTTTCTCCACTAGCCATCACAGATGGCTAAATACACAGATGAGTATAAATGAGAAAAAAAGGACAATCTGTAAAGTTTAACTAGTTTCACTGTATGATTAAGAAATAGCTACCTTCAGCTAAGCTTGGCAAAGCCATCGTAGTAGCCTGTACCTTGGGGTATTTGACATTTGCCATGCTCATATCTTACTCCCTCAACTTTTTCAGAACTATTTCTGAATGTACCATTGTGTCTGCTGGGGAGGAAGTATGTTCCAGTGGAAAAGCTTTTGAATCAGTCCTGAGTTCAAAATCTTTTTAGCCATGTGATCAGCAAAAACCTATCTCTCTAAATGGCAGTTTCCTCATCTGTGAAGATGAAATGACAATAAAGCATTTGCATACCAGAGGTGCTCAATAAATATTCACACCCATGCTTGTTCTATTACCCCTGCTTCTTTCCACACCCATAGTGGTAGGAGCCCTGATTACTGAAAAGGTGATAACTGATTCATTCTTATTTCTCTCCTCTCCAGTTTTCCTTTCTGTGTCAGTCCTGGTCTAGTCAAGAATACAAAAATTATAGGGTTTTAAACAGAAGGACTCTAATGGAGATCATTATTATACAGGAAAAGGAAGTGGTATGGCAACCTAGCTATTAGCAGTAGCAGGAAGCCACTACTACCCCAATGGCTACAAAGATTCAGAAAAAAAAATGGGGTTACTGGAGTTCAGAACTGTAGTCTTCTGGCAAACACTAGAACCATGATGGTCATTGCCTACCAGGATTTTGAAATCATGGAGCAAATATAGATACCACTTGAATGATCTCATTACATCCTTGGGTGAGAAAGGAAATGAAATATTCTAGATTCTTTCTCCCTTTTGCCCTCAAGTCTATGAACCAAATGAACTGGAAGCCAGTGGAAGAGCAACCTGAGAAATGCAGTTGCAAGGGTCTTTCTTACATCTGCAGAACAAAGGAAGGGAAGGGCAAGGACGAGGAATGGATGTGAGCTTTGACAGGCAAATACATGATCCACTACAGTTGGAATATGAAATATCCCCCACAGTTTTGTGTGGCTTGATTCCCACATGGTGGTGCTATTTTGGGAGGATCTGGAAACCTTTTAAGAGGTAGAGCCTAGCTGGAGGAAGTAGGTCACTGGGGGCAGGTCCTTGAGGGTACTTTATCCCTGGACGCTTGCTGTCTCACTTTTTGTTTCCAGGCTGTCATAAGGTAACAGCTTCTGCCACACATGCCTGCTGCCATGATATTCTGACCAAGAGGATGGACTGAACTTTCTGAAATCATGAGCCAAAATAAATAATTCCTTCCTATACATTGTTTATGTCAGGTAATTGGTCACAGTGACAGAAAAGTAACTAATACACCCACATTCCTTGCTTAATTATTCTCTTAAATCCTAAAGTGACACTATTGCTAGAAGCTATTGTAGTTAGCAAGGCAGCTACAGTTTGGAGGAGGAATGAAATAGGGTGGGCAACATTAAGACTGGATTCATTTTTTCTTTAGGTCTCTGTGATTTGTAACATCATCAGACCTTTTTTTTTTACATTATAAAGATTTTTTTTTTTTGTAGTACTGGGGTTTGAACTCAGGGCCTCACACTTGCCAGGCAGCTGCTCTACCACTTGAGCCATGCCTCCATTCCTTTTTGCTTGGGTTATTTTGCCTGGACCGCTTTTCTCTATTTTATGCTTCCCATCTCAGCTGGAATGACAGGTGATCACTATGCCCAGCTTTTTTCCATTTAGATGGGCTCTCAAGAACTTTTTTTTTGCCCAGGGTGGCTTGGAACTACAATCCTCCCAATCTCAGCCTCCCAAGAAACTAGGATTATAGGTGTGAGACACCAACACCTGGTAATTACAGATGTTTTAATATGATGAAAATATGAGACGAAGAATGAATGGATACATTTTCAAAAGGTACACAGAGAAATCAATTATTGGTATTTTTGGGCAATTTCATGCATGGCAGAGTCAATGTATTTTAAAGCTTGTAATAAACTCTTCTATAAGCAGAAACCTGTGGATTCTACCTTGTTTTTCCTTTACTTGGAAGATATTCTAATTTACATATGCTCCAATTCACACTTTGTTCCAACACTTCTTTATGTCTTATTAACTTTGGTAATGGAACATCTCTTTGTTTGAATCGTCACAATTTAAAAAAATAGTGGACCCGAATTAAAAAGTTAAACTTCCATGTGTGGTGTTGGAATATATTATCATGGCTCATCAGTGTTTGCAATTCAATTGAGGAGAATATATGGATTTTGCCTCTGG